ACCAACAACTTGAAGTCGAAATAAACAACAATCAGAACATTATATTAGCATACAAATCTAACAACACCTTGTCTTCAATATTCACAAAAACAAAATCCCCAATATAATCTCACCAACAAAACAATGTGGTATACGAAATCGCATGCAAAGGGAGCGAAAACGAATGCTGCAATAAAGTGTACATTGGCACAACGAAACGACCACTGGGAGTTCGCCTAGCTGAACACGAAGCCGACATTAGAAAGAATAAAAACAGCACTGCTTTAGCACAACATGTGTTAGCTAGTGGTCATACAGCTGATCTGACCAACGCGAAAATAGTGGATAGGGAAAAAAGAGAAAAAACAAGATACACACTGGAGAGTTTAAGAATTTTGCAAAAAAGAAATGTAACATTAAACAAGAAAGAGGACACTGACGACATCCCGGCTGCATACTTATTATGTTTATAGCCTTTTTAGTATTAGTTTGACAAATGTACCACAGGGTGATGGCATGAACGCTGCTCAAAAGTTTTAAAGTTTAAATGTTAAGTGTAGTTTAGTAGTTTATTTTTCAAATGTAAGTTTTTCAATGTTTTCACAAAAGTGTTTAAAGTCCAGTATGAGGTTAAAATTGCTAATTGTTCCTTGTTTTTGTATGTACAATTGTTTTGTGTTCATATCAACAAATTATATTATAATAATAACCTCCTTATATTTGTTTCTTGTTGATATTTAATAAAGAAAACGCCCCAGAAGATGCCAAGGAGGTTAGCGAAACGTCGCACAGTGCTGTATGAGCGGGAAAAAATCAAAAAAATTGTTGTCACGTATGTCAACGTGTTTGGTATCGTTGGAAAGGAAATTTATCCTAGATTAAGGATCTGGACTTAGTTTTTGTTTTTATGTCATAAGGTTCTCACAAAAACCTCTTAAATGCCTTTAGCTGGAGTCTTTAAAAAAAAATTGCTAAAAATACAATTTATCATACTTTATCTTAAGACACAATTTTTCTAATTAGAAAATCTGTAAGGAAACCACTCTATAGAGCTTTTTAAAAAATATTGAGTTTCCTGGCTGGAATGGCCTATTTGCTACACCCTAAAATTTGTTGTAGAAAATTTAAAAAATTCCTAAGTTTACAAAGGGATAAAAAAAAATTATGTAAAAGTATGTTTTTTTTATTCTTTTATTTGAAAGAAGCGGCATTTTTCTTTGAAATAAAAAAAAGTCTGCAGACTCATTGCGCTTTTCGAAGAAAATCGTTTTTTTAAGGTTATAAAATAAACTTTTGCAAAAAAAAAATTTCACTGATTACAGTTACCACAGTATTTTCCATTACTTAAATGCCAAAACATTCTTTAAAAATAGTAAAGTTTATTACTGTAGACACACGCGGTAGTGTTCTGTGCTGTGTAGTGAAGCGTAAAATAGTGAAAAAACTAATATTTATATGAATTCAATTATAAAAAACTCAATTTTAGCTGATATCTGGATTTCTACTCGTCCATCAGATAGAGTGTCTGCATTATCTGCATTTTTTGAAGACAAATTAATACACGCTAAATGCGACAAAGCACTTTTGAATCAAAAAATAAAACTTTTTAATAGTGAAATGAAAAATAAGTGGAATTATAGTGGCCGCAAAAGAAGCGCTTTTGAAAAAACATATTCTAAATGGCTAAATTGGACATTCCTTTCCCTTCCGGATTCCAATGGAAATAAGGATAAATGTGCTGAACGGGGAAGACCTTCTAAAGAAGAATTTTGCGAAGCTTCACGGAGAACAAAAAATCGAAGGGTAGAGCATTTGTTGAAAAACTATTCCATCGAAGAGCTCGAGTATGCTCTGAAAAAATGAAAAAAGCAAGCAAAGTTGAATGTTTTGAAAGTAGTACCGAAGGTTTGCCCATGTCTGATTTACTCGCACCATACATAGATCTGAACTTATCAGATCGTAAATATAATAGTTTACGTGCAAAAATAAACCGGTTGCATAAAGATTGTATACCGAGCTTAAACGCATTGCAAACAAAAAAACAAACTTTGCTGCCAACGATTAAATCGACTGAATATTCAGCCGAAGTTGATCTGAAATCATTATTGCTGAAAACAACGCAAAGTATTTTAGAACTAAGCCCAGATAATGGTGACATAACCAAAGCTTCTTTGGTTTGTAAGTGGGGCATGGATGGAAGTTCGGGGCATAGCCGCTATAAGCAAAATTTTGGTGGCGACAAATTAACGGATGAGTTTATGTTCATCATTGCGCTAGTCCCTCTGAGGTAACAAAAAATTATCTAATATGTCTTCAAAAAACATTCAATAGCCTTTAAAAATAAATTCGAGTTTAGATCAGTAAATGGCATTTTAATTTACTTTAAAAACTTTTTACAGTATTATTTTGCAAAAGGCTGGTCTGAATTAATTAATTTACTCGATTAGCTATTTTGCGATATGACGGTCTTATATCTTTTCGACAAGCCATATAAGTTATTAAAAAATAAATATTTTTTCCAGGTTAATTGATTTGTCATCCAACAAAAATATATGCACCAATAACAAATGCTCATCGTCTTTTTTTTTCGTCCAATTAAGTTTAGTTTCAAGAAGGAAAACCGCGAACTAGTTCTATTCGAATATAATGATACGTCGAGAAAAATTGAGAACTTAGAAGATGATGTTGTAATACCAAACGGAAAAGGGATTCAAGTTTCTTATCAAATGCATTGCACCATGATTGATGGATCTGTTGCCAATATTTTGACTGGCACTAATGCTTCCAGTAACTGTTTTATTTGCCATGCCAAACCGACCGAAATGAATGTTACTAATTTTACAAAAGTACCAATCGCTAATCATTACAAGTATGGGTTGTCTACACTGCATGCTTGGATTAGATGTTTTGAGTGTTTACTCCACATCGCATACCGTTTAACATTTAAATGCTGGCAAGTTCGCAAAGAAAATGAAGACGCCTTTTCTGCGAATAAAGTTAGGATTCAAAATGAGTTTAGGACAAGACTAGGCTTAATAGTGGACCAAGTAAAGACTGGATTTGGAACAACTAATGATGGCAACACAGCTCGAAAATTTTTTTCAAATGCAGAAGTGGCATCAGAAATTACCGGCATTAATAAAGAGCTAATTCAAAATTTTTCAATAATACATTAATCGCAGTATCGTGTGGAATGCGTATTAATATCGACGCGTTTAGAGAGCTCCTTATAAGGACAAGAGCAATGTATTTGACTGACTACGAATGGTACTACATGCCTAGCAGCGTGCATAAAATATTGATGCATGGGTGCGAGGTTATTGAGTATTTCGATCTACCAATTGGTAAGAAAATCGATTTGTTGCTATTCGGCATTTTTTACTACTACGAATTTATTCCCACAGGCAATTTTTCAGAGGAAGCTCTGGAAGCTTTACATAAACACATACGTATCGTACGATATGATCATACACGTAAAACTGCTCGGGAGCATACAAACAGAGACTTGATGTCATACTTAACAATATCATCAGATCCTGAAGTAGTTTTTAAAAGGAGTGCTATCCCAAACAAAAATGCAGTTTATACAATGGACGAGCTGGAAGAGTATTTAGTCGATGCTGAAGAAACTTAAAAGTAATAAGTACCCTTCAGTCAACTCAATTAGTTTTATACAGAACTTAGGTACGTATGTGACACTGTGATATCGCTTTGTCTCACTTGTGTTTTTCGACTTCGTTGTTTTGTTGCGCTGGTTGTCCATTTCTCTTATTTTCTGTTTTAGTAAACTTTGTATTAGGTGGTGCGGGTAGTTGTTGTTGGTTAGAATTCTGTTTATTCTATTAATGTTTGTGTCTCTAAATTGTGCGTGGCTTATTGTTAGTACTTTATGTATAAGTTTATTTGCTGTGTTCACTTTATAGTTTGAGGGTTGCGAAGACAAGAAATTAATTATGCGACCGGAGGATGTGGGTTTCGAATACCAGTCAAGTAGTATGGAATTATTTTTCCTGTGAATCACGACGTCTAGGAATGGGATGCAGGAATTCGTTTCTGGTTCCATAGTAAATTGTAGTTTAGGATGGTATTCGTTAAGTGTTTTTAAAATTATGTCCACGTCGTTTCGTCTAAGAATAGCAAAAATGTCGTCCACATATTTAATCATAAATTTAATGTCAATATTGAGGTATTTCTTTAGCTCTATCACGGTATTATCCAATAAATTGTCCATAACTATGTCTGCAATCGTTGGCGAGAGGGGATTTCCCCTCGGCATCCCAAAAGTCTAGGCAAAGAATTTATTTCTGAGAATCCCGAAGTAGTCCCGAAAGTTCCAAAAATCTGGAAACAGTCTCGAAAGTCCCAAAAATCCCTAAATTACTACCGACAATCTCAAAAAAGACCCGAAAGTTCTAAAAATCCTAAATAAGTCCCAAAAATCTGTAAATAGTCCCGAAAGTCCCAAAAATACCTAAATCACTCCCGATAATCCCGAGTCCCAAAAATCCGAAATTAGTCCCAAAAATCCCTAAATAGTCCCGAAAGTCCCAACAGTCCCGAAATTATTCCCGAGAATCCCGAGAACCCCATAAATCCGAAATAAGTCCCAAATATCTGGAAATAGTCCCAAAAGTCCGATATTAGTCCCAAAAATCGAAAAATAGTCCCGGATCCCCAAAATTTCGAAATTACTCCCGAGCATCGCAAAATACTCCCGAAAGTTCCAAAAGTCCCGAAATTAGTTCCGAAAATCCCGATATTAGTTCCGAGAATCCTGATAGCCCCAAAAATCCCGCAACAGTACCGAAAGTCCCAAAAACTCAAAATTATTCCTAAAAATAGCCCAGGGTTCCAAAAAATCCCGAGAATTCAGAAACACTCCCGAAGATCCCGCTATTAAATCCGAGAATCCCGAAAGTCCCAAAAATCCCGAAAATAGTTCCAAAAATGCTTAAATATTCTGAAAGTCGTCTCTAAAATCCCGATATTAGTTCCGAGAATCCCAAAATCTCAAAAAAAGTTTCCGGGAATCCCTAAATAATTACGAAACAGCTTCGAAAATCCCGAGAACTCCGAAATAGTCTTTAAAATCTTGATTTAGTCTGAAGAGTCTCTAAAATCACGAAACAGTTCCCAAATTGAGGTGTGCTGAGTCACCTGGTGAGAACGGGTGTGATGAGTTCAACTGTGGTGAGTTAAGATTTGGTGGATTTTTGTGTAGCTGTTGGAGGTGTGGTGAGTTCAGGTGAGGTGTGGTGAGTAAATACCTTGGTACTTTAGTGAAAGTATTTTGCATCCCCAAGGTACCTGAGTACTTTGGATCAGAGTATTTAGCGCCTGCTTAGTACTTAGTAAATACAATTTTGCCCATCACCGGTGTCGCACAGAGGGGTATTTGGCCGATTTAGGCGGCCAAAAGTCGAATTTTCCAAACCCACTTTTTTCTTTTTTAACTGAATATAAGGTGAAGAGAATATAAATCTGGACTAGATTCCATTATTTTTTAATCCCCCTTTGCTTTAATTCGCTCGCACCGCGCTGTCAAAGTGCCGTGTTTATAATTGTTTATTTGGTTTTTAGATGTGTTTAATACAAGCCGAAGTTGTAAAAATCTGCTTTAAATCGTGTGTTCATTTTTAAAATTATATTAAATTAGATAATTGTAAAGCAGAGAAATGCCATATAATCCAAATAGTTTAATACAAATATAATATGAAGTGGTACCGGCAGAGCTACAAGGAAAAATATCGTATTTTTGCAAATTTTAATGGATTAGAGAAATGAACTACAGTCATAAAGTTATGTAACACCACTCAACGGCGCTGAGATTCTTGCTTGGGTGTTATGCTGACAGTTCATAGTTTGGAAACAAACAAAAAAAACTGCTGAAAAGGTGCGTTTGCTGTGCACTGACCATAGGAAATATTTACTACTTCCGAAAAATAAACCGAAAATACTGCTGCAGTACTGTACCTGTTTTCTTTCCATGCACAGGGTGTTCTGTAAAAGTGTTCAATGAGTAAAGGGGGGTGATAGGAAAGTCAAGCCGCCCGACAACGTTAAGAGGCGGGCTGGGACGGTGGGAGAGGAGGGGTTCAATATAAAAATTTGGAGAGTTGCAGGGAGAAAATAGTTGTGAGTACATTTAGAAAAAAATTCTCTACTTAAGGGTAAGTTCTAGTAAAAATTTGCAAATAAGTTTTTAAGGCATTAAAATCGCACGATTTTTTTCTCAAACTACATATATGTATGTATGTATCTCATTACTTTACCAATCAATTCTTGTAAATATGTATATACATATATATCCAAAGGTTTCTAGGATTATTATTATTATTATAAGACATTTGTACAAAGTTGCCACGTATTCGAAATTATTTATAACTAGCTGTACCCTGCCACGCTTTGCTGTGGCATATTTTTGTTACATGGATGTTAAGCGATTAACGAAACAAAGCATACGTTTCATATATGTTTGATTTTGTAATAAGTACTTGTGTGCACACAATATTTATCGGTTTTCCAAATCCGGTTTGTCGACATGGGAACACGAAACATCTGACCGGCGGTCTTCACGTGTTGGAAAATCTCGCTTGCGTGACGACGCATGCGAGAAACCGCACGTGTAGACCGCAAAAAGTACGAAGCATGCTTTTTCTCGCATACCGAGCGGTATGCGAGCTCTCGCTTGCTTTCAACTGTCATTTTTGTTGTTTGACACCTATGTTCTCATTTCGCAGAATTCTTCAGAGTAGCAACATCGTTTATTTTGAAGGCAAATATAAATTTAGAGGCAGCCATTTTCCTTTGGAAATAGTATACATGTCTTTATGCAGATTTTCTAATTTTCTCAAACTTTTAAGAGCCTGCAAGGCTTGAACCTTCTTGTTTGGCGACATTTTACAAACGAAAAAGTATGCTGTCCAATGCCCAGTCAACAAAACTCTATCTCGCTTGCGAGAGAAAAAAGCAGAACGCAAGCGAGATTTTCAAGCATGTGGAGATGGCCGGTAAACCACATTTTTCCAAAGGTTCACCTTGAGTATTATTGATAGCGAATGCCGAATGCAATCTTTAAATTGAAATAGTAAGGTAATATAATTTTTGATCTAACCGTTGCAAGAACTCATCTGATAAGGAATGTTTTCCTAGTTCCTCCTGGCGCATCCAAGAGGAAGGTCCCCCAACTCTGTAATTTATCATTTGCATCTTCTTATTTGGCGCTGTTAACCGCATACGCGAATTTCGCCGAGCTCGACAAAGCACGCCAGTTGTTTCTCTCTGTGCCAACTGACACTAATTGGAAATCCCACGTGAAGCCAATTCGCTTCCCACTTGGTCTCTCCATAGCATTGGGGCATCTCTCTTCCTCTGCTACCACCAGCGGATCGCGAGTTGGATACTTTCAGAACTGGAACGTCGGTTCCTATTCGAACGACATGGCTCCATGTAAAGCTCATACAACTCATCGTTTCATCGTCTACGGTACTTCCCGTTGCCAACGCGTAGAGGCCTGACGTGGGTGCCAAGGCGCGAATGCGCTGACTGTTTATTTTTGACAGGAGATACTACTTCGTCGTGTCCTCGTTTGCCACCATGCCCATTCGCTTTGCTTCCTTATCCAGCTTGAAAAAGGCAGAACAGACTTCAGGATTTTTGTTACCGATGATTTCGATGTCATCGGCATAAGCCAATAATTGCATGCTCTTGTAGTAAATTGTTACTGAACGGTTTAGTTCCGCAGCTCTTATTATATTAACATTTGCAGCATGCGATCGTAAATGCCCTTCTGCTTTCGCTTTAATTTGGGAATCTTTGATCGGGAATAGGAGTTCACAATAGTAGTGATAACCATAATCATAATAACATTATCTCATGTTATTCAAAATTTCTTTACTCGCACGTACGTAGTAGGCTATGGCGGCCTCAAACGAAATTGTTTACGATTAAAAGTTAACTGATTTATGTTGCTAGGGAATAGTGCCAACAATTTTATGTGTTCATTAAGTATTTTTAAATAGCTTTCATGGGATAGTTTTTTGTTTTCGTTACTCTCTTATCATTTTGTTATTTGTTTCAATAGTTTTTAACCGACTTCAAAAAAAGGAGAAGGTTATCAATTCGTCGGAATATTTTTTTTTATGTATGCTACCGCATAACTTTAGACCACGTCAACCGATTTCCAGGTGATCCCATACTAATTTGATTTAGATCTGGTCATTGGATTAACGGAACTATTAAATTTTTATATAAGAATTGGAGCCGGTGTGTTTTTTGCTTAAAAATTACTTGTTTATTAATTTTTTATATTAAGTAATTTGTGTATCAGCTCATCGTTGATAATATGATCTCCTCGTTTGATAAGATGTTGTAAATTCCATATTTATTTAAACTGTTCGAATTTTGGATTAGTGGAAAGATTTAAAAAATGTGTATACTAAAGCTTTCCCAAACATTTTTCGGTTGGAACCAGTTATGTAAAATTTTATTTAATTTCAATATTTTTAATCTTTACTTTTAGATAGGTGATAATGCTATTACAAATTTTTCCTAATCAAGATTTTTCAAATACCTTTCGTTGCCACCCATATTGCACCTCAAACATATTTTCGATTGTATGTCTTCTTAAAACTCTTTAGTTTGATACCCACATTGCAATATTTC